TGCTTGTGGTAGATGGTTAAACACCTTTATACCATTATAATGTATTGATTTATGAACAAGCGAAGATTTCGGAATAGGAAGCTGTAGGTTAATTTGCTGGGTAGATCTTGTATTATAGCCATAGCTAGTAGAAGGCCGGACAAAGTCATTGCGATGAGTATAAATCAGACTTGCTGTTTCTAAAATATACAAACAAGTGATGGTTAAGATTTTCTTGGATTTAAACAGAGGTTTGCATGATTCTCTGTAGTTAGCATTACAAAGATATCTCAACGCTCTCTTCTGTAAGATAAACAACATACCAATTAGCTGATCAGTTGTTGAGCCCCAAAACGCAATGCCATACCGAAGGTGTAACTCAATTACCGAAAAAAATTGAAGGTGAGCGGTGGGGTGAGGTTTTGCAGGAGACTAATGTAGAACTGAGTACAAATATATTTGTGAACAAATTAAAAAATATGATTATGGAATCAACAATTATAAAAACAATACCAAACAGGAAGAAGAAATTGAAGCCTTGGATTACTGGTGGGCTCTTATTGTCAATTCGAAATAGAAACCGCCTTAAAAAGGAAACTACCTTGAATTCCAACAATTTTATAATTTTGAATAGGTATCAAGAATATCGAAAAATTTTGGGTAAGTTAATAAAAAATTCAAAGTATACTTATTACAAATTATTAGCACAAAGAAATTTAAATGATCCAAAAAAACTATGGAATGTGATTAGGGAGGCCACCAATGATCAGGTCTGTAGGTCAAAAATAAAAGCAATTAATAACCAGGTAAATTCAGAAATAACAAACAAAGAACAGATTGCAAATGAATTCAATTCTTATTTTTGTAATATAGGAAAACATTTGGCAGGAAAGATTACTGGAAGCGCTCGGAATCATGGTGGGAGGGAGAGAAGGAGTGAAAACTCGTTCTTTTTGAGTCCTGTGACAAATGATGATATAATTAGAGAAGTGATGAGCCTTAAGAATGGGGTAAAGGGTGGAAATGATGCTATTTCCAGTGTTGTTCAAAGGGCACAATTGTGCCAAAAATGGCACTTTTTAGGCGGAAAATACACGTTGGCACCACTTTGAAAAATTTGGTACGATTCACATTTATTAGATATTATCCTTTTCCAAATTTTTAAGATGTGAAGGATTGGAGCTGGAGCAGGATTTTTTGTTTATTTCTATTCTATATTGTATTTTTTATTCATTTTATTCCTGTGCTAGTGACCTCAGTCCTGACCTGTGAGAATTGTAGTGGATCTGTCAGGATCCTTGTTTTTGAAACAGGCGAGCAGCGTTCCCAGGACAACAAGTGTTCCGTCTTTGTTACTTATATTATCATTTACATATCATTGAGAAAGACAGAACACTCGTTCTCCGAACGCTGCTCCACTGTTTCAAGAATAAAGACCCAGGTCAGTGGATCTCAAGGATAATACACACTACAGGATAGCTTATCCTCATAAGGCCTGTATGGAACAAATCTGAACCCCCACCTCGCCAAATCACCGGTTGTGACGTAGCAGCATGCCGTTTATGAAATATATTACATCTTTCTCCTTTTAATCATGTGACAAAAAATGGGTAGAAATTCAAAAAATCCTCTCCCATCACTTTTTATCAGGTGGCACTATTTGAGTGTTGCTGCAGGCACACACGAAAATTCCCTGAGAACAACCCTGGCTATTTCATCTAATGTAATAAAAACTTTTAAAGAAAATCTCATCATTCCGCTTAAGCACATAACAAATCTATCATTTGCTGCTGGTATTTTCGGGGATAATACCACGAGAGCTTCAAAATTACCGCTAATTTTTCACGATTGCGCGTTTTCTATAATTTCACGAGTCCGTAGGACGAGTGAAATTTGCAGAGAAAACACGCATGAGTGAAAAATTATCTGGTTCATTTTAAAGCTCGAGTGGTATTTAGAGGATTATTTCACGTATGAGAATGCAAAAAATATGGAAATAAATATGTATTAAACGATTTGAACATCTTAACAATCAATACAAATAATTGGTTGCTATCAGGAACCATTTGTTTGTATCAAAAATTAGCATGACAACCATGTATACAATAACATGGGAGAATTATCGGATGTAATACCACAAGAGGTTTCAGGATTACCGGATAGTGGTGTGAGTGGTGTTGCTGGTAACGCGTTGAGTGTCAGGTAAAAGTATTAGGTAATCCTGAAAACTCGAGTGGTATTCAAAAGATTATACAACGAACTAAACTTTAATTCTTTATTAATTAATAATTTCATGAATCAAAAATTTAAATTTTTTTGTCAAAAAATGTCAAAACACCAGTTACCGTGCAAAAGGATTATCACTTATTAAGCCTCTCGTGTCATATGGGAAGGATTATCACTTGTTAATCCTCTCGTGTCATATGGGAATAATGTACAGTGAGTTGTATAATCGCTGTAATTCTCTCTAGTTAAATGGAAAAGAGAATTTTCGCAGTAATTTTGAAAATCGTCACTTGTCTTATGGGATTTCTAACACATGAGTGGAATAATCCCTGATATATTGAAAAATACTAAAATCATACCCTTATACAAGCAAGATGATAATAGTATATTACATACCGAGTAGGGAAGTGTTTCATTACTGTCGAGAGATTTATATAGTAAATCGAAACGCGAAGTAGTTATTTATACACCAAGTGAGTCAAATGAATGTTTATTCATGAGAAGAAAGTTTAACCCACGAGCCTTAGCGAGTGGGTTAATTTTCTTCGAATGAATAAACATGTTAACTCACGTGATGTATACAAAATTTTATCCTATTTTGATGGACATTTAAATTAATAGGAATCAAATTATAAAAAGAATTCATTAAGCAGCATATGAAAACGTCTAAATATTGAAATTGGTGGTTGCTAGGGTATAACTAGTTGTTTGTTTGTATTTGCAGCAGATTCTATACTGGTAGAGTGACTTAAAAGACTGAGAGTGAGTTAAAAATATTTTAAATCACTGAGGTGATAAACGTCTACTTACCTTTGTTATTATGCGTTCAATAATGTCATTTTTAAACGTCAAAATTGGATAAAAAAATAAAACAAACATGCCAAAATGTGTCATTCGCTGCTTTGACGTTTTTACCTGACATGTTCTCATTGTTCCCAGCGAAGGTAAATAAATTACAGTGAGGGAAATCGGTGAGGAAAATCGAAGAGGGAAGTGACACACACAGGTAAAGTGTCACTTCCAAATTTTTAAAAAGTCAGTAATGTCAAGATTACATATATGGTTGCAAATAAAAAATTATTAAATAACTATAGACCAATTTCTTTGACTAGTAAGTACAGTGAGTAAAAACATTGAGAAATGCTTTAGGAGACAATTAAACACCTTTTTAGAGAAAAATTGCCTTCTCAACTGAAATCAATTTGCTTTCAGGGATCATGTAAATACTGAAAATGCTCTTGTAAAGGTTACAGAAGAGATACTAAAAAATCTAGATCAGGGGAAAAAAGTGGTAGGGGTTTTTTTGGATTTGAGAAAAGCGTTGACACCGTGGAGCACCAAATTTTATTGAAACGACTAGAGAGTGTGGGAGTCAGGGGTATTCCAAATAACTTTATGAAGTCGTATCTGGCTGAGAGGAAACAAACCACAGTTGTCTCTGAACAAGAAAGTAATGCATTGCAGGTAGAATTTGGTGTGCCACAAGGTACAGTGCTCTCAACTTTGTTGTTCAACATTTAGGTAAATGGCATAATGGAGCAGCTGGATAATAAAAATATCAATACCTATTGTTTTGCTGACGATACAAGTATTATAATAAGTGGTAACGACTGAGAAATTACTAAACTAAAGGCAGAAAAAGCATTACAAAAAATTAAGAACTAGTTAGGTAAAAGTTTACTTTCCCTTAATGTAGAGAAAACCAATTTTGTGGCTTTTTCGCTTTCCTCTCGCTCACTGCCGGATTTTGAGTGCATCAAAGTTCATTATTCAAAATGTGATTTGGGCCTACATTGTGAGTGTGATATGATCATAAAAAGAAAGTCTAGCCTAAGATACCTTGGAGTTATTTTGGATGAAAAACTAACTTGGAAAGAACATGTTGAGTATATAACTGCAAAAGTAAGGAAACTAATACACAAATTCTATGAACTAAGAAAAATGTTAACATTAAAAACGTTAAAGACAATTTATTGTGCGCTAGTGGAGTCCATGATAAACTATGGTTTGGTGTTGTGGGGGAATGCAGGCACAACAACTCTATTAAAATTACAGGTATCCCAAAGATGGATTATAAAGACTATGCTATTTAAGAAAAAAAGATATCCTACAGCTCTTACTCACAAAGATAGTAATGTTCTAACCATAGAACAACTTTATTTAAAATCAGTCCTGTGATTCATGATAAAGAACAACTACTACAAAGAAAATTTAAAACACGGACAAAATACAAGAAGTGCCGCTCAAGGAAAGGTTGAACTGCAGAACCCCAAGCACACAGCCTGTCAAAATCACATTGACTGTGTGGGTCCGAAGATTTACAATGACTTACCTGATAGCTTTAAACAAAAAAAATATTACAAAATTGAAAAACCCTTAACAAAATGGATTGTTGAGAGTGGATATAAAAAGTACAAACAAACAATTATTGGTATATTTGAAGATAGGAAGAAATTTATTGTATAAAGAAATTACATCTGAAATGTTGAAATTGTTATTTGTTAAATTGTATTAAAACCTAAACCTAAAATATCAAATGAAAATACAAACTTCAAAATATTTTTTTCTACAACTGACAAGTAATGTCATTATTATTTTACGGTTTTTAATGCGACAAATGTGTCATTTTTCAACAGGTGATAATTTTCCAAAGCAACGTGCGCTAAAAATTTCGCACCCTAGTGCGCGAAATATTTTGGAACACTAGTGCGCGAAATATTTCAAAAAACAAAAAATACTCTGAATTAATTGAACTGTAAATTTTTTATTTTATTTATTATTAACAATGTGAATAGTACAATTATTGCAGTTACTGATAGTAATTCCTGTTGATGTTGATTTAGCTGAAATTTCTGAAGATACTCTTGTTGTGGATGGTGCAATTACTGACTCAACATTTGGAAGAGTTGAATGATCACTCCCATTATCGTAATAATTTTGACCAGAGTCCTCATTTGTAGTGCTTGAAATACGTTTCGCAATTTCCATTTTATTTTGCACAGAATCCTCGACATATCCTTCTGCAACCATTGTGGACTTCCAGCCTCCGTGCCGCTCCAACATGGTAATGTCAGCTCCGGTGTTGGCTAATAAAGTTGCCGAAGTACGGCGAAAACAGTGGCCGGTATACAATTCAGTTTGAGGTAGGGTAGACCAAGCTATCATACTGCATCAAAATGCCCCTATTTTATTTATGCCAACAACTTGGTTTGTGCACTTTCCTTTCTGATAGTTGATGAAGAATGGTTTGCAGCCCACACGAGGGGGCCGAAATTCTGCATATGTCCGGAATATTCGAATGTATTCAGGATTGATGATTGTGAATATTCTTTGGCCATTAGTTTGAGTATCTGGAACAGTGATTATTAACACGGATCCTTCATCTTGAATATCATCAACGGTCATTTTGACAAGCTCATCACGTCGGAGCTCTAGAAACTCCAATGATGAGTAGAACTTTGGACAGAAGGTAAGAGTCATCTGGAGCAGTAGTTAGACATTTGGAAATAGCCGCACTTGTGAATACCTTGGATTTTTTTGCTCGATATCCTACCATCTGTTTTTTGAGGAATGGGACTATCTTGAAGTATTTTGTAACATCTACGTTTTCTTTAACGTTTAAGGTGGACTTGAGCATGGAGTACCTAAGTAGACCACAATGTAGACCCTTTTACAGATTTTGCCTTTTCAGCTAAATAGGCCAAAAGAACGTTTTCACTTGCCGATCCAACGTTTTTTTCTTTTCGATATTTGAGAAACTGATTATGTGCTTTTTCATAATGTATTCTGGACTTGGATGGAAGAAGGTCTTGTACTGCCTCATATGCGACTTGCGCAACATCTGGTGGAGTACCAGATATTTCTATTTCTTCATCTGAAGATAACATTTTGTGAATCGAAATTCTTTTTGACAAATGTCAAACATTTACACGTAGATACGTCACATACCAGTATGATACCAGTCACATACCAAACGTTGCTTTGAAAATTTTCTTACTTGAAAGCAAGTATTTATACATAATCGCAAAACTCATTGTAAAATTTCAGATACTGCAGTTGTAGAAAAAATAATGTATACAACTCGGTTGCGAAAGAATTTCGCGGCTTCGCTTCATATTATGACTCGGCTTTGCCTCGTCATAATATTTGCTCATGCGCGAAATTCTATTTCGCAACCTTGTTATATAAATAACTATAAATGAATTAAGTTTAATGGGGTGCACACACAGTTTTATAAATACCATTGTGCATCTAATAATGTTAGCAGCATAGAGTAGCAGTATTAGGAAATTGTATTAAGATTGATATAACTATGTAATAGGTATTGCATTAAATTTTTAAATAAATTAAATTTGAATAATAATTAGAAAAAAAAAAAAAATGTAGCCCAAGTTTATGTGTTGAAATAAACTGCTGGACACTCAAACTTTCCTTTCACATATACAGATTTTTAGAGCAAATTCAAAATTCCATATTTTCGACACGAATAATGTTTTTTTTAACGCGGTTTGTGGATTTTAATAGCTTGTTTTTTGCGGATAAAGCTTGACGTAAAGTTCTCATAGGACCATATGGTCATGGTTACAATCAATATACGGGGCGATAAAATTCAGTTTTGCTTTAAAATCTGTATGTGTAAGTTCAAGTGTCCAGCAGTTTCCATGAATTCAAAATATCTGAAAATGGCAATATCTCAAAAAACGGCGAAACTTTGCATCAGGGTAAATAAAGCCAAACAGCTTCCAAATGACTCTAACTATCACTCATTGTAATCTCCCTATCGATGTACCAAACACCCTTTATACCTACCTATAGATTCTTTATTTTCACATTTTATGATTATTCTTCAAGTACAATTTATTAGGCTAAACCGAGGAGCATACTAAAGCTGATGTTACGAAGAGTTTAATTTAAATAAAATGCGATTATGCAGAAGGTAGAATTGAAAATGTATTGAAAGGTAGTTATAAAAAGGTAAAGGTACAGGTATAGGCGTATCAACAATACAAACAAATCCAGGTCACAAATGATTATTTCAAACTCTTCCCGTGAGTGCGGGAAGAAATCTCTTCCCGCACAGCAAATCATGCGGGAAGAGCCATTTCCCGCACGCCCGTAGAAAAAAAAAATTCATGAAGGAAGCAACTTTTTCCTGCACTATATTCACTTGGTAACGGCGTGTTAAACGCAAACGTAAACGCTCAACGGTGAGTTTATAAATTGGGCTTTAAAGTTAAAGTGGTACCTAACGATGAAGTGACATTTATTTTGAAAAATCTCTTTAGAGCTCAGGAAAAAATAAAATCGATTTTGCAAAATTTCGGTTTTTTCCGGATATCTCGGAATTTTTCAAATGTCAAAGTACCAACATAGTAACTCCAACCATTCTCCAGATCCTGATGCTATCCAATCCTTATCTTGAACACACTGTATAGATTGAAAGATTCAATTTAATTTATAATTTTTTTTTTCAATTCATTGTATTTCGGAAAATTTATCAATATCCCTAACAAACAAAATAAGTATCCTTTTCAATTTTGCACAAACTAAATCAAGTTATCATTACAGACATTTGTATAATGTGCAGAAATTTAAATTTAAAATTTAAATAAGTTCAAGAAATGTTTATACCATGTTTATACAAATAAAGTAAAGTATTTAATAACTTGCATAAAATATTATGAGAGGATAATAGTTATTTATGTACCAAGGCAGTAAAGTGATACTTTATTGAATGAGTCTGAGATGATGAGTCGAGCGAGCGAGGCGAGTAAAAGGGCAAGTTTGATAGACACTTTACTGACATAATGCATACAAAACTTCATCGCCAACCGTGAAAATTAATAACTGTGAAAAATGAAGATATAACTTAACACATTTTATCATTAGGGCAAACACAGAACACATCTGCTTGTTTGTTATGTTGAACGTGAATATACACCCTGTCGTATGACATCAATTAATTCTTGAAGTCAAGGAGTTTCAATATGTTAACAATGCGTAAGTCCTTCTCTATTAGAATTATCATTGGTAACAACTATAGTGTAAATTTGATTTAAACTGTTGCCTAAAACCGTCTTCGCGATTTTTGTTCTATTGACCACATATTCCTCAATAGGACTCTGCAAAAATATTTGCAGCAGGTAAAATACTTTATCTGCCGCATATGAGGCAGATAAAATCAGTGAAATAAAGTATTTCTTTACTTCGGGAAATCGCTATGGTAATATGGTTTAGCTCTACTGTCGGTTGGCAATAAAAAAAATGTTATGAAAAAGAATTTTAATCATCAAATGCTGAAAATTACAATAGTTTGAATCATTTTTTCCATTCCAATAATTATTACAATTTAATATTTTTCAATAAGGTTTCGGTGCAGCATCACCGGCGACCAGCAACGTATTCGGTTCCCCACCAGAGACTACTCCGTCCAGCAATTTCGGATTTGGTGGCTTAAATGTCAGCAGTCAACCTTCCGGGAGTCTTTTCGGCTCATCGGGTGCCACAACTTTTGGACAATCGCCGAACGCAAATCCATTTGCGAAAGTGGAAACTACTCCGGCTTTCGGTTCCAGCAGTAGCAGCATATTTGGAGGCGCCACCACGTCTGCTAGTAATATTTTCGGCAGTCCTGCAGCTACCACAGCAAGTTCGATTTTTGGAGGATCAGGTAATTTTTTGTACAACACATTAAACTGGCGCGGATCCAGACTCAAATTAAGGGGGGTCCATACAGAATATTGGAAGGTACAGGGTGTCTGGTTATAATTTGACACCCCACCTTTAAAGGTAGATGATCGGTGTTAACACAAAAGTAGAGCAGTTTTGGCTAAATTATTGTCAAAAATTTGAAATTTTGCGTACTTACTTCCAACTGTTTTCAAATAAAATGGCCTATATTTGATTCTATATTCTTGAAGAGCACAATTTTCCGATTCCAAAAATATATAGTTTCTCCATATTTAGTTGAGCCGTCTCTACCATATTTGGCTTCAAAAATTTTAAAAATACTATCGGAGAAACCAAGTGCCTCAAATTTTACCTAAAGTTTTCATCAGAATGTTTCACAAAATCTTCAATAGGATAGTATTTTTTAGAGCCAAATATGTTGAAGGCGGCTCAAACAAATATAGACAAATTATACAGGGTGTCCCACTAAGGTCAGCCAGGAACGATATTATGGAGACCATAGATCTTACGTAACTTGAAAACGAATGCAGATATCGAATTGCGGTTTGCGCCAAAATGTAGATATTTTTTTGCTCTTTAAGCACAGCAATACAAAAATAATATTATGCCATTTGGATTTTTCATGAAAATTAGAAAAAACTATATCTCGAATAAACAGCGCCCTCTAGAAGACGCGGTGGGAACTATTGACCTTGAACGAAGTGGTGTTCTTGATAACAATGAAATTCTCTTCCAAATAAACCCAAATTGAATGAGTATGAATGAGGGGTATGGAAGATACAGCAATTTCTAAAAAAAAAAAACTCACCAGCTTCCCCCACCCTTATTACTGAAGATACGAAAAAAAGCCTAATAACCAAACTGGCGCAAAAATTAATGAACTTTTGATTTCTGTTATTAAAACAGTATCTTAATATAGCGATTTCTTGAAAAATTTGAATTTTTAGCTATATCATCGTAATTGCGCCCCATAGCGGTCATCCTAGAAACTTGAAAATAATTTCCATCAATTTCTCTTGGCCGATTTAGTGAAGAAAAAAAAAATCCCGAAGCTGTAAGGTCTATGGTTTCCATAATATCGTACCTGGCCGACCTTAGTGGGACACCTGGTATACATATGTATAAGAAGCAAATATAGGGCATTTCATTTAAAAAACTTGAAAGTACGCAAAATTTCATATTTCTTACAATAAACTTTTGTTTTTGACGATGGACTCTGAAAAT